AACCCAGCTCAGAGAGCACCAAGGACCCCATAGTCATTGTCCTCCTCCTCCTCCTCCTCCTCCTCCTCCTCCTCTTCTTCTTCTTCTTCTTCTTCTTCTTCTTCTTCTTCTTCTTCTTCTTCTTCTTCTTCTTCTTCTTCTTCTTCTTCTTCTTCTTCTTCTTCTTCTTCTTCTCCTTCTCCTTCTCCTCCTCCTCCTCTTCCCCCTCCTCCTCCACTACAACCACCACCATAAAACCCCCACCCTTCTAGCTCTGATGATGTTTCCTAGTTTGGGTAATGAAACATCTACAAGAAAACAATCCAGCTCAGAGAGTACCAAGGACCCCTCATTTCAACCCCAGGCTGCAAATATTCTCCTTTATTGAAACTAAACTATTGTCTTTGACACACCTGGCATCCCAAACTCTTAAGAAGGACAAACAGTGAACTTTTTCTTCACCTCTGCTTTGATATTCTCTCCCCCCTTCCTTTCATAAACATGACAGCTGGTCTGTTTGTGGAATCGGGATCAGGGGCTTTAGCTGTTCCTGAGCAATTAATTCTTAAGCGCTTTTTCACTTTAGGCAGGCCTGAACTAATCCGGATGGCTTAAATATGCTTGCCAGGAAAATTCAACACATCAGCAAAATTCCTGCAGCTCCTTAAAAGTCGAGGAATGTCATGCCCTAATACCTATGTTAATCTTCCAGACGCCACAACCTTTTTTTGCCCTGCTGCAAAAAATTAAAAACTGCTCCACCTTCGTAATTTGGCTGAAACAACACGCAGAGGCTAATCCAGGCTGCCAGTCATTGCTCTTATAATTCTGCTCTGGGGTTCAATTACAAAAGTCAATTATAAAAGGCGGGGGGGGGGGGGGCTTGCGTGAGTTGCTGCTGTCCCGGGTTGGCTGTGCAGTTGATTTGGATCCTGAGGCCGATTGTAGGTCAGTGTGTGTGTTGATGGAATTGTTGGTGGCGTTGTCAGGCTTCGATGAGCGTGGCGGGTGGTAGCGTGGCAACGAAATATTTGGAAACCAACCCACAAGCTTGGAGAACGAACCTCCACCCTCACCCTTCACCCGAGCTGCAGATATTTGCCACTATTGAAAAACCAGCATTTCTTTCCAGTTTCCAGGGGGGAAAAATGGTCATAGTGGACAATGAATTCACTTAACAACCAAAGGGTTGGCTTTATGACTGTGGCATTTGCTTTACAATTGCTGCATTCCCTAAACCAGGGGTAGGCAACCTTGGCTCTTTTATGACTGGTGGACTTCAACTCCCAGAATTCCTCAGCCAGCCACGCTGAGGGGAAAGGGAGAGGTTTCCAAGCTGAGCCATGCTGGCTCAGGAATTCTGGGAGTTGAAGTCCACGAGTCATAAAGCGGCCTAGGCCTAGGCCAGAGGTAGGCAACCTCGGCTCTTTTATGACTCGTGGACTTCAACTCCCAGAATTCGACTCGGTCGACACGACTCCCCTTTCCCTCTCCAAAGGTTCGACTCGGTACGACCGACTCCTTAAGACCCTCAACTTCAAATGCTCAGTCTTTCGCCGGATCCGGATCCGGTCCCCATCCGTTAGAGTCGAGAAAATACTGACCACCTGAAGTTGAGGGTCTTAAGGACTCGGTCGGTGCGACTCCCCTTTCCCTCTCCTTTCCAAGCTGAGCCATGCTGGCTGAGGAATTCTGGGAGTTGAAGTTTACGAGTCAGAAAGCGGCCTAGGCCTAGGCCAGGGGTAGGCAATCTCAGCTCTTTTATGACTCGTGGACTTCAACTCCCAGAATTCCTGAGCCAGCCATGCTGAGGGGAAAGGGAGAGGTTTCCAAGCTGAGCCATGCTGGCTGAGGAATTCTGGGAGTTGAAGTTTACGAGTCAGAAAGCGGCCTAGGCCTAGGCCAGGGGTAGGCAATCTCAGCTCTTTTATGACTCGTGGACTTCAACTCCCAGAATTCCTGAGCCAGCCACGCTGAGGGGAAAGGGAGAGGTTTCCAAGCTGAGCCACGCTGGCTCAGGAATTCTGGGAGTTGAAGTCCACGAATCATGAAGGGCCCATAGTTTCCCTCATGCTGGCTCAGGAATTCTGGGAGTTGAAGTCCACGAGTCATAAAAGAGCCAAGGTTGCCCACCGCTGCCCTAAACGAATGCTGCAAAAAATATATATCATAAAATCAAGTCATGTGACAACTCAGGTTACGACCGTCAGGACTTTACGATACTAAATCCTAGAATCCTAAATCTGGAAGGGACCTCAGAGGTCTTCTAGTCTAACCCCCCCCCTGCTCAAGGCAGGAGTCCTTATACCATCCCAGCCAAATGGTTGTCCAGTCCCATTTTTGAAAACCTGCAGTGAGGGAGCATGCCCCTCTCAATGACAGTCATAGGCCAAGGACTATCAATGCTTACATTTTTTGGGGGGAAAAATACAAAATTACAGACAATGCAGGATCATCTTTTGTGTTCTACAGTGCTAGAAAGTATTGGCTATGCCAGGGGTCTTCAAACTTGGCCCTTTTATGACTGGTGGACTTGCCTGGCTGGGGAATTCTGGGAGTTGAAGTCCACCTGTCATAAAAGGGCCAAGTTTCAAGACACCTGGTCTGGATCCAAAGCCCGTGGTTTCATCAAAATGGCCGACTGAGGAATCCTGGGAGTTGAAGTCCACAAGTCCTAAAAGGGTCAAGTTTGAAGACCCCTGGTCTGGATCCAAGCCCGCAGTCTCATCAAAATGGCCGACTGAGGAATTCTGGGAGTTGAAGTCCACCAGTCATAAAAGGGCCAAGTTTGAAGACCCCTGGTCTATGTGACATTGAGCAATATATTCTGGTGAAGCCACTGCAAGTCAGTAAGCGGTGCTAATATCTTTCATTAACTACCTTAGATTCGAAGACCGATAAAAGAAATACATTACTTATATCGTAACCTCAATCTGAAGAAATGTGTGCTTCCTATCGCAATCAAGAACACAACAAACTGCCCATTTTCTCTCTTACCAATGACAAGTTTCCTGGATTCTAAAGCCACAAGGTAGCAGAATATCGAAGAGGGAAAAAAATATATAAACCAAATACGTCTTGGACTGCATTATCAATTATTTAGGAAAGAGGATATTTGCTATGTCTATTTACAGACGATGCTGGATTAGGAGTGTGTGTTGCATTCGCTCTTAAATAGCTGTGTCTGCTTCACATATTAAATCATTTTAGGGTGATAATAATAATAATAATAATAATAATAATAATAATAATAATAATAATAATAATAATAATAACAACAACAACAACAACAACAACAACAACAATAATAATAATGATGATGTTGGAAGGGACCTTGGAGGTCATCGAGTCCAACCCCTTGCCCAGGCAGGAACCCTACACTATTTCAGACAAACGGCTGTCCAGTCTCTTCTTAAAAACTTCCAGTGTTGGAGCATACAATTCAATTATAAAGTTTATCGTCTACTTATTCGCCAATTGCCTTTCCCAATAAATTGAAGCACGGTAACCGCGAATCGTTTACCTGTTTTGAACTTGGGACTTTACTGTGGTCTTTTTCTGTAAAATACCACCTCAAGATATTTGGAATGGTCACTGGTCTCCACGTCGGCCAGGGGTTCATAAATCTTCCATCTTTGCTTTTCTTCGACTTGGTTACATCTTCCTCCAGCCGATAATCCAACCGGAAGCTTTTTCTAGACGTCCTGGACGAATTGCTCCCTCGGGAATCTTGATTCGAATTCTGACGTTTTCTTACTTCTTCTTTCAGGCTTGGATTGAAAGGCTGTTCTTCGTCCATGTCATTTGGTGACGAACTATGGGGGGGGGGGAGAAAAGAAAAGTTAATTCTCTTTCTTAATTGGAACATTAAAGGAACGGAGGCGGGGGGGGAAATCCCAGACGTACCCTAAAAAACATCCCCCCTATATCTGCAAACTTTTCCTCCACGTTTTCACGCCAAGAACGTTTTAAGAGCAGGTCTTGGCACGCAGACGTTCGAATTCCTTTAATAAACTGAGGACCAGAAGCTTGTTCTGGCTGGTTAACAGGAAGAGAATAACAAGCTCTTTGTGAAGTTCACCATTTTGTAGGAAGCTAATTAAAATACCAATGCGCACGTAAATAGCTTTGTCCACGTGTTAAATTATTTTAGGGTGATGTTATATTTGATAATTAAACTACAAGTCATCCTCTACTTATCTGCAGACTGCATTTTCCATAAATTTAAGCACAATAACCGCAAATCATTTACCTAGTACCCAATACTGCCTAAAAGAGAGGGACGTAACACCCTATCTGGCAATCCAGTGCATTTTTTACTTGCAATAGTAAATGGAGAATTATGGGGACACGGGGAAAAGTCAAAGAGGAAGGGGAAGAGAAATTAAACCTCAGAAGAAACATCCCATAAAATAAATTTCTCTCCTGCCTCCCCAGGAGAGGGACCAAATAGTGACCACCAAGTCCTCTCTGGTTTTTTTTGTTTTTTTTTATTTTGTCAGCAGCCCAGAGTCACTGAGAGCGAACGGGCAGCCATTTAAAATTTCTAAATAAAAATAAAAAATAAAATAAAATAACAAGAGATATTTATGGCTTGCCAAGGACCTTACACTCCCATACGCAGCGCGTTCAAACTTTTCATCTCGGAGAGGAGAGTTGATTCCAGAATTTTTTTAAAAAAAATCCCAATTCAGCAAATTTGGCTCGTTTTTTGGAATTAGTAAATGTTTTCCAGCAGTGGACTCTGTACGTCTGGGAGAAACCTTGTATTAAAATGAACTCGTGGTCCTCTGTCGACATCAGAAAAAATGTTGCACGGGTTGCTAATCCAGAAAAATGAAAAAGGTATTTCTGGTCCCCACCGGCTTGTAAAGTTGGAGTAGGCTATGATTAGAACAAGAATGTGATAGACAAGTGCAGACAGGCATACAGGTAACCCTCGACTTACAAAAGTTCATTTAGTGACCGTTCCAAGTTGCAACGAGGCTGAAAAAAGCGACTTATGAAAATGTTTCACACTTACGATCCCCAGGGTCGTGTGATCGAAATTTAAACTCTGGGCAACCGACTCGTATTTATGACGGCTGCAGTTCCCTTTTGCGACATTCTGACAAGCAAAGTCAACGGCAAAAACGGTATCCGGAGAAGCCAGCTGTAATTCACAATAGTTTTTTTTTTAAAAAAAAATACCTCATCAGTCTGAAAAGATGCTAAAAGACTCATTATTAACATGGCTCTCCACCTACAACATCTAGGTAAATAGTTAATCTCACTCAACTGGAAGTTGAGGAATGTTGTCGCTACTATTAGTCAATTACGATCTTGGCTTTACTTAGCAAAGTGTTTGTTTCCTATTATTACACAGCAATTTGTAGCAAAAGGAAGTAGTTCCTTCCACCGAAAGGAAGATTGGGGTATTTCCATTGCTTTGATTATAGTTCGCTCATTTTCCTTCTCTTTGCTTCTTCCCCATTGCGTGTGCAGTCATGTTTGTTCACACTTTAAACCCTGCAGGCAGGAATCTCCAAAGTTTTGGCAGCCTCTCCCAAAGTTTTGGCAGCCTCTACTCAGAAGCAAAAGGCTTGTACACCTAGTTTAAGCATCCCCCAATTCTTAAAAAAAAAAAGGGAGCCTTTTCCGAGGTCATGTAACAAAGCCAAATGCATTCAGGGTGAACTTTTACCAGCCTGAGAAATTTCACAGCCCTGGATAATGCATCCATAAATATGACTATGAGCCAGTCGTGTGCAGCCGCCGCCAAAAAAGCTAATACGATCCTGGGTTGTATAAACAAGAGGCATAGAATCAAGATCACACAAAGTGACAAGAAGGTGACTAGCAACAGGGAGAAAGCAGAACTATTTAACTCGTTTGTTTGCATCTGTCTTTACACAAAGGGGGGGAAAAAACAGACCAACCTATCAAAAACAGTACCGTAAAAAACAGAATAGAAACACAAGTTAAGATAGGCAAGAAAATGGTAAGCGAGCACCTGTCCAGCCTGGACGAGTTCAAATCGCCAGGACCAGATGGATTACACCCCAAGGTTCTCAAGGAACTGGCAGGTGTGATCTCAGAACCACTGAACTATATTTTTCAAAGATCCTGGAGCACTGGGGAACGACCGGAGGACTGGAAAAGAGCTGATGTAGTTCCCATTTTCAAAAAAGGGAAAAAATAAATCCAGGAAACTACAGACCTAATAATAATTTTTAAACCTAGCGGTTTAAATTGTTGCAGTAAAAATCTTCAAGACACCGGTTGAAAAGTTTGCAAGGTGCCTTTATACCGTATTAAGAGTCCACAAAGCTTTAATCAGGGGGCACAAGGAAACGTTAAGCAACGTTTTTTTGGACGAGAGCCCAGACACACACACACAAGCGAGCTTTTATAGTCGCCTGAAAAACTACAACGTAGCACAATCGCATTGTCTAATACGTGAATCGTTCCATATTGGGTCTTCTCTTCCTTAATCTGGAAGTTTACTGCTTGCAATTTATCTTACATACATGGAACAAAGCATCCATTATGCAATGCAAGCACACTACGGAGAGCGATGGAAATCTACAGCATTCATAATGATTATTTTTTTAAAAAAAAAACAGGAACTTTTTTTCTCTCCGAGATCTTTTCCAGAAAGAAAGAAAACTTGTGTTAGTAAGCGATTGGACGACCATCTGTCTGAAATGGTATATTTATGAGCTGGGGGTTGGACTAGAAGATCCAAAGTAAGGTTCTACATTTAGGCAAGAAAAACCAAATGCACAAGTACAGCATAGGTGGCACCTTGCTCAATACTAGTAACTGTGAGAGGGACCTCGGAGTCCTAGTAGACAATCACCTAAATATGACCCAGCCGTGTGCTGCAGCTGCCAAAAAGGCCAACACAGTCCTAGGCTGCATTAACAGAGGGATAGAATCAAGATCACGTGAAGTGTTAATACCACTTTACAATGCCTTGGTAAGGCCACACTTGGAATACTGCATCCAGTTTTGGTCACCGCGATGTAAAAAAGATGTTGAGACTCTAGAAAGAGTACAGAGAAGAGCAACAAAGATGATCAGGGGACTGGAGGCTAAAACATACAAGGAAAGGTTGCTGGAATTGGGTATGTCCAGTTTAATGAAGAGAAGGACGAGGGGGGACAGGATAGCAGTGTCCCAATATCTCAGGGGCTGCCCCAAAGAAGAGGGAGTCAAGTTATTCTCCAAAGCGCCTGAAGGCAGGACAAGAAGCAACGGATGGAAACTAACCAAGGAGAGAAGCAACCAAGAACTAAGGAGAAACTTCCTGATAATTAGAACAATTAACCAGTGGAACAACCTGCCTCCAGAAGCGGTGAATGCTCCAACACTGGAAGTTTTTAAGAAGAGACTGGACAGCCATTTGTCCGAAATGGTATAGGGTTTCCTGCCTGAGCAGGGGGTTGGACTAGATGACCTCCAAGGTCCCAACTTTACTATTATTATTACTACTACTACTACTACTACTACTACTACTACTACTACTACTACTATTATTATTATTATTATTATTATTATTATTATTATTATTATTATTATTATTATTATTACTGGAGACTAAATCATATAAGGAATGGTTGCTGGAATTGGGTATGTCTAGTTTAATGAAGAGAAGGACGAGGGGTGACATGATACCAGTCTTCCAATATCTCAGGGGTTGCCCCAAAGAAGAGGAGGGTCAACCTATTTTCCAAAGCATATTTTTACTGGGTTTGAAAAAAAATAAAAATAAAACACCCGTTTCCTGCCCAGAATACAAATTGGGCAGGAGGGGGATTATGTAACCCTTTTCTGAAAAGCTAGCCCAGCACATTTCCATGTCAACGGAGGAGAATGCTCGAACTATAGCCATTGAATGGATCTGCCTGCTTTTCAATCCTATTCACCAGCTAAAAATGAGACAGGTCTTGGGATAAAGAGTAAAAAGAAAGAAAGAAAGAAAGAGAGAGAGAGAGAGAGAGAGAGAGAGAGAGAGAGAGAGAAAGAAAGAAAGAAAGAAAGAAAGAAAGAAAGAAAGAAAGAAAGAAAGAAGGGCTGGACACTATGCATGTTAATATCTCAATTAAAGCACCGTTTTTCTTCCAGCATCTGACATTCCGAATGGCTGTCGTTCCCAAACAATTATTTAGCGATCTGGACTGTAATTTATTTTTATTTTTTTTTAGAAAGCCACTGCAA